GAGAGAGCTAGGGGTTCAGGTACATTTTCCTTTGAAATGTGTGTTACAGGTAGGCAGGGTGGTTAAGGCGGCTTTTAGCGAAGTTACTTTTGTTGCTCAGACTGTTCAGTATAGGAGTTGGGACGGCATGTTGAGGTTGCACAGGATATTTGAGAGGCTTCTTCTGGAGCACTGTGTGCAGCCTGCTACAGGAAGGATATTATTAAATTGGAGAGGGTCCAGAAAGGATTTACTAGGATGTTGCTGGGAATGGAGGGTTTGAGTTATAAAAATAGGTTGGATAGGCTGAGACTTTTTGTCACTGGAGCACAAGGAGTTTGAGGGATGACCTTAGAGGTTTATAAAATCATGAGGGGCATGGATAAGGTGAATAGCAAGGGTCTTTTCCCTCAGGTGAGAGGGTTTAAAACTGAGGGGCATATTTTTAAGGTGAGAGGAGAAAGTTTTAAAAAGGACACGAGGGGCAACTTTTTTTTTTTTAAAAAAAGTGTTTTATGTGTGGAATAAATTGCCAGAGGAGGTGCTGGATGCAGGTACACCTGCAACATTTAAAAGACATTTGGATAAGTACATGTATAGGAAAGATTTGGAGGGATATGGGCCAAATGCAAGCAAGTGGGACTAATTTAGTTTGGGAACACATGGTCGGCATGGACTAGTTGGTCTGAAGGGTCTGTTTCTGTGCTGTATGATTTTATGGACTTCTCATTTGATTTTGCCACAAAGCGTTCCATAGCCCACATTGTTCAGACCACTATAAGATTCCACTCAGTTGCAAATGCACAATGCTACAATAAGATTTTTTTTGGTTTTTGCAGGATTAGAGGACAGGCTGGGAAAAGGTGAGAACCAAAAATGGCAAAGCTGACCTAGACAATAACTGTGAAATCATGAGATAATTCATGCTCTGAAAGATTGTATCATCCAAGAGTCAAAAGTAAAAGCATGAGCATCTTGCTGTTCCTAAGTAGCATTGATTCAAAGGGAAATGATAACTCCATTACATATAAAAATTGAAAGTCATAAGCTGACACAAGTAATTCAAAACAAATAGACCACTTGTGTTATAAGCCCCATAGGTGCCAATAACTTTTTAAAAAGAGAAGAATTTCCAGAATGAAGAACAGAAAGAATCAAAGGACAAGATTTTATGATTTTATTGCAACAAATAAGTTTGATCAAATGTGAAATTGCATTAGCATAGCCAACCAAATATCAAACTGGACAGATAATATTTTACCATTAACACAACTGAAATATGTCTCGCAAACTCTTTTCACTGTGTGTCACACCAAGCAAATATGCCGTATTACAGGAACAGTTCCATACTCAGTCCTGCCTGTCCGTCAGATTTTCACTTCCACCCATCATTCTCGGTGAAAACATTGTCCTTTGACAATTGTTCCACAGTCTGAAATTTCCCAGATACACCAACAAGGGACTCCCCAGTGACTCCCTATTCCTTAACCCTTCAAGAGTTCTCTGTTCAGTTTCTCTTATTTTGAATGGAAACCAAATGCTCAAAAGTAATTCCCTCTGTGTTCCCACAGCAGTTAATCTTTTGATTCTGCATCCCAAATAGCTGACCTTTCTCTGTGCAATACTGAGAAACACTATTAAAATTGCCAGCCAACATCAATGACTTTCTGTTCAAATTTATAACCAGATCACATGAGCATGTCACAGAGCTGAGATTTTTACTTGGTGTACTGCATTTTGCTTAGAGCTAAAAAGTACATTTCAAGATATAGCAGTCTTGTAAGATTCAGGATCCACGACACTAAGAACAGAAAATAACTTCTACTACTGTACTATGAAATAAGATTTGAAAAGTGCTGAAAAAGTGTCACACTGGACTCAAAACATTAACTCAATTGCTCTTCACACTAATACTGCCAGACCTGCTGAGTTTCTTCAGCATTCTACATGCTTGCTTCAGATTTGCAGCATCCACAGTATTTTGCTTTCATTTGAGATGTACTGGCGATTATTATAAACTGGTCACTGAACTCTGACAAATCAGAAGAGGTGACTCTTCAAAGCAAGGCCCACCATATCTCCACCAAGCAGGCACTCTGCAGGACAGTGGCATTTTTTCTGGAGGACCCTGGAGATGGAAGTAAGTGCTATCCTACCCACACACACTTAGTGAAGTCACCAAGGAGGTCAGTTTGAGGTGTACAAAATAACATGGGGCAAAGATAGTGTAGGTAGAAAAGGAAGAGGTGGGATTAGAGTAGATAGGTGCTTGATAATCAACATGTACACAACAGGCTGAAGTGACACTTTCCATTTTATAAAGCTCTATGATTCAGAGCCTGTAGTTGCTGCCAGAAAGCCAGCCAAGATTGGAAGGGCCAAAACATCAAGTTAAGTGCTTTTGTTTGGCAGGTGGGAGGGTTTCCCAGGGTTGTGGGTCACAAGGAGATGGAGGCATGGGAATTCAGAAGCATGAGCAGAGGAGTGCCTTTCATTGACCACCTGTCTGCCACGTAGCCAACCCTTGATAGTGGGTAAATTCATACATATCAAGGAAAGTGGCCAGACTCCCAAATTACAAGCTGGCCAGATGGGTTTACCAGTCATGTGGTCCTACTGTCTCTTTATCCAACATGGAATTGAGATAATGTTAGCCCAGCAGGAATAGACTCTTAAGTGGTCATACATTGACCAGTTAATGGCCTCAATAAGCAGAACATCAAGATGGTGGAGCTTGGTCCTTCCTGCCTAGAACTTAAACCGAGAGGCAGGAAGGAGTTTGGCTTTTGGGACACCACCACCCCAGCTACCTTGTTACCTTCTTGCCTCCAGGAAGGGAATGATTCCACATTAGGAGTGGCTGTTCAGTTTGAGATAGCAGTTCAGGCAAAACAAAATGAATTGAACATAGATGGAGATTTCACCTCTGCATTCATCAGCTGAGATTTTTCTGCTCATTACAAAGAATTCACAGCAAATGACAGGTTGATGGATATTAAAACAGAAGACTCTAAGCAATAAACAACTGGACAGAATCCTGGCAGACAGAATTGAAATACAAGAAAATAAGCAAATACACATTGAGAACAAAATGAAAAATGCAAACACTGAAGATAACTGAATAATAGTGATAAATAACTGAAGCTGAAGTCAAATCAGACCTTAGTGACATACCTATTATACTCCAAGAGACAACTGTATTTAAACACATTTAAGTCTACACTTTTATGTGAGAGCTTTATTTCAGTTATCCACACTCCATAATACTCAAACCCCACTGATTACTAACTCCCCCTATTTATACAACCAATGCAAACCCAATTAACTCTTAATTAATATATCCATCACTTGTTCTCTCATTCCATTGGTTTCAGGCATTCCTTCAGACCATATTAGATGATAACAATACAGACTCAAGCGTCATTGTGACCAATCACTGCAGAAAAGCAATCAGTAAACAAATTGAATTCTGAACTATCTAACCAAAGGAGTAGTTTACTTGTGTGAAATTAATGCCAATTTGCATAGCACCCAACTCAGATCACACCTTGAATATTATGGCTCCTGTGGAACACGTGCCAAGAGGGCATTAACAAAAAGTACTGAAGGCTCAGACCACACCTCAACATTGTATCCATTTCTGATATAAAATAAGGAGCTCTCATTTAAAATTGAGGCACGAAAGGATTTCTTCTCCAAAAGGCAGTGACTGTCTGGAATTCTCTATCCCAAAGAGTAATGGACACCATATCACTGGAAGTATTGAAAGAGGAGGGAATCAATTTTTGAAATATTGTGCAGTTAAGAACTATGAGGAGATGACACAAAAGAGGAGTTGAGACCTGAGGCAGATCTGCTATGAGCTTCTTCAATGATGGGACAGCCTTAAGTAGCTGAATGGTCTACTGCTACTCCAATTTCTTATGTTCTTATATTATGTTCAGTGGCATTCAAGGCATTAAAAAAGTGCTGAAGACTTTTTATGGCAGGGCCACAAAACTGATCTTCACTGTCTCAGTTATGAAGAAAAGCTGTATCTTTTTGGACTTATCAGCTTTAACATGTGAGTCCAGAAAGAAAATAAAGAAAGACTTGCATTTATATAAGCTGATTCACAATCACAGTTCATCCTAAAACAGTCTATAGCCAAGAGTTTTAATGAGTTTTGAAGTCCATTCACTGTTGTAATGTAGGTAAATATGGCAGTTAACTTACACAAAGATCTCAAAAAACTGAAATTAAGATAACCTATTTTAGTAATGTTGTTTGAGGGATACATACTGATCAGGCACTGTTTCTCATCAAAATAAATTAATCGAATCTTCTACATCGACCCCACAGAGCCTCTGTTTAATGTTTTATCTTGCCCTCAAAGGTATGCAATGTGTTTTAAATATGGAAAAGTAAACCAAAAATGCTAAATCGAAGCAAAAGAAAACAGTAATCCATATTAAGCTAACTTGCGAAAGTTTAAACAGGTAGTATGCAAAAATACAAGCAAAATGCAAAAAAACTGAAAAATTCAAGAGATACTTTTTGTCATAGCACTAACATTTTGAAATGGACTTATTTAAGAAACAATTAAATGCTTTAATGGGGGCACTGTAATGTTTACCGGGGTAGAAGAAATAAAATGAACTCACTTTAATCATTATAATCATCATTTGCTAACTCACGTACAAATTAATTAACTGGTAATCATTCACTAATTTGTTGAAAACATTTGGTCAAGGAAATTAATCAAATCACTTAAAGCATTTTTTCAAGTACGTTTGTCTGCTATCGCATATAATATCCAATAGGCAGAAACTAAATAAAATGCCCTTTTGAGACTGCACCTTTTGTAGGAGTCCCATAGCATTACTGATGGTGTGATACAGCTAATTGGTTATAAGCAAAATGTCAGATTGTTCTGAATCTGCGTGGCCACACATGTCTGCATTCTTTTTGATATAAATGTTTTCCTGTTGCAAAGTTCCTCAATTTCCATGATCTAATATGTGCATATTTGTGTCTTTCAGATCTCATCCAAAGGTAGCATCTCTAGTCCTAAAGTAAGGAAGAGATGTAGAAGCGCCAGACCTGGGAACGTGAAGCGGAAAATTAGTATGTATATATTGCTTAACATTCTCAGCATCAATCAAACTGAGGCACAGTTCTCTACTAGGAACTGGACAGAACCAATTACTGATCACATTTTCTATTTGATTTGTTATGTACATTAAGATACATCTTTATTTAAAGTTCATCTATAAGTTCAGTGTTACCAGCCATTGTTCGATCACCAGTAACAGAGGTGCTGCAAGCTGTCTTACTGCATTCATTAATTTTAACCTTAGACTTGCTTTAGTCAAGAAGCAAAAATAAGGATGCCAAATGTAATCTGATACAGGCTATAGCCAATATCTTTGTGTGAAGGATTTATTTAGGAGCTGAGTCTTTTAAATAGCTGGTGGCAAAACTGCAAGTACATGGTTTAGCCAGATCTGCTAGGAATGACGTACTCTCATAAAATGTTTTGCAGCTGATTACGAGCTGGATCAACTTCAAGAAAAACTGAAAGAGACTGAAGTGGCCATGGAGAAATTAGTTTTGAAAATGGGAGCTGAATCAGACAAGTAAGAAATAACCAATTAATATCCTTAAAGTAGTGTTTTCATAATATTTCATGAACAGAATTATTTATTGTCATTATGAAGTAGTGAAGTTTATTTACTGAAATTCAGTAGCTGCTAATGCGAGTTTCATATACTTTATGAACTATGCACTAGGGCTTCTAATCTTTAATCAAGAGATATCAGAAATAAGACCATAAGAAGGAGCAGCGGATGCAGGCCATTCAGCCCACCAAGTCTGCTGTACCATTCGGTGAGATCATGGCTGATCTGATCATCCTCAACTCCACTTCCCAATCTTTTCCCCATAACCTTTGAATCTCTTACTGATTAGAAATCTTTGTATCTCAACCTTGAACATACTTAATAATCCAGCCTCAAAAGGCCTCTGCAATAAAGAATTCCACAGATTCACTAGTCTCACTTCTTAGGAGACTATGCCCCCAGTCCTGGACTCTCCCACAAGGGGAAGCAATCTTTCTGTTTCTACTCTGTCTAGACTCCTAGTAACTTCAATAAGGAACCTTCTCATTCTTCTATACTCCTGTGACAGAAATCCTATCAGCTGTTTTAATCTTGGGCTCATCTTGTCTATGTGGGAGTTCATCTGACATGGCGATGCAGATGTCATCACTGAGCTGCTGTATAAGCATGAGGCTCCTGAGACACTGATGCTTGGGTGTGTCACAGGTTGGTCCGCTGCTTGTTGACTCTGTGTTAGGATCTTTCCTCCTTCCTGCGAAATGTTAGTTTCCTTTTCCCTGTGGAAGCACTGGTTACTGCTGAGCTGGTGGCTGCTGCAGGTGCTGTTCCTGCTGCAAGTTATCCAGTTGACAGTGGCCACTTACCCTAAGCAGAGTGGACTGTGTTGAACTGCAGAAACTGCATTTGTGCAACTGTGAAAAATGGTTGCACAAAAGGGCAGCTTAATCTGACTAAAGTGTCCTTCCAACAGATGGCAACCACCTGTCAAGTAGTGATAACACCCTTTGACAGAAGGAGTGCTTTGGACAATATCTCATCTGGTCATGGCTGCAGCTCTTAAACATGAGCAACACTCATCAGTTTAACTGAGGAATTTCTTTTCTCTGTGAACTCAGCTTCTTTAATTACATCACATAATCTTTTCTTTGCAGACATTTGTCCATGTTTAGTATTAGTAACAGCTAATGAAATGTTACAAACATACACTTATTGCAACATAATAAAACATTGTGTCTTCATTCTTTTTTTGTAAGAACAATTTTAAAAGTCTGTGATCAAGATAAATCTGCTGCACTGACTTTATATTAATGCTTCCTTTTTATTTTGAATACACTTTACTTTCACTTTGTGTTGATGATGAAGAACAACATTTTTAAAAGTGTAAAATCCTAAAGTATTTCAAAAAGGTATTACAAAAATATGCACTGAGCTGAAGGAGAAATTTGCATCCAAATACCAATTGTAAGGGAGGAGAGTAAATGATTGAAGGGAGAGAAGTTGATGAAGAATATTCCAGAAAGTAGGATATACTGGCAGCAGGAATAGCTGACAAGAATATCTATCTATATGAATAATATTCCAGAGTTGGAAGAACTAAGGATTTTCGGGATCGGAGGGCCTGAATAGTTTAAGATGATAAGGAGGGATATCAAAGAAGGATAACAACATTAACTCACATGCATTAGACTACTATTTTATATTAGTAAGAACAGTGGGCAATAAATAGGACTTGATGCAGAATTGGATATCAGCAAAGGAGCTTTGAAAGTGATGTTTTGTGCCAGTATTGGATATTGGAAAGGATAAAATTGGACCAACTGATTCTGGTTCTGGATTTCAAGGTTGATGGAATGAGTTATAGAATCATAAAATGATTACAACATGAGCTTATCAGTTAGAACCACTTCTCCCCAGTGTGCCCTGCAAATTTCTTCTATTCATGTATTTATTCAAATCTTTTCTGAAAGCTACATTTGAATCTCACTCGACCATACAATGATGCAGTGTTTCCAGAGGCTAACCACTCATGCAAGTCATGAATGTGGAATTGAAAAGTGAGTTTAGATACAAATAGGACACAGTGATGGGACAGTCTGGTTCAACCTAACACAATGGGTTTGTGTCATCATCAGTTCCACTTCCATTTTCTCATAAGCTTGTTATAGGCTTTTTTTCTGAAAGTTCTGATCAGTCATCTGTCAAAACATTGCATCTTCTACAGACTAACTGGGAATGAGACAAGCAATTGGACATCTTATTAACCAGTCAGATTGAAGAATCATTAATAGGCAGCATGGAGTCTGAACCATAAAATGCCAATTGCAGTAATCAGCTCAATGTCAAATCAGATACTGAAAATATAATAAAAATTGCATTAGTAGAGAGTGGTAAAAAAGTAATTTTCTTCTTAATTCTCAAGCAATAACTGATATATATAACAATGTCTAAAATCTAAAGGAATAAAATTTCAAATTTGTTAAAGTTACTATCCATTCCAGAGAGGTAATTTGTCAGTAATAAAGACCTTTCGTGCCATTAGTAATTATTTACAGTGGACTAAACAGTGACATTTCAGAATCATAGAATTAATGCAGTTTGGACAGATGCCATTGAACCCATTGTTCCATACTGGCTTTCCAAATGAGCACCTCACTTTGGACCATGCTCCTGCTTTCTGACCATAACCCTGCACATTGTTCCTTTTCAAATAACCATCTAATTCCTTTTTAAATGCTTCAAATGTACATTCCTTGAAGCTGCTGTCATGTAGTGCTTTCCAATCCTGACCACTCTGCATGAAAAAGTTTTCCCTCATGTCACTTTTATGCTTCTTTTACCAGATACAGTAATTCAGTGCTATCTCCCTCTCGATCCTTTCACAACAGGGAACATTTTTAGGGTGGGCTTTGTGGTTATATTCCATGCCATACAGCAATTCAACCTTCCATGTATTTCAGTAGTAAGTCTCCAAATGAGACACCATTACAACCTAGCTTATCAAAGGAGGATGGAATCTAAGATAAAAACTTCCTGAACCATACACTTAACTACTCATGTGTATTCAATAAAAGTTGCTGACAGATCTACACATCAAGAACATTGACAACTGTTGAACTGATTTTGTTTTAATCTTTCAAGATTCCTGAAGCTGAAACTGCAACGGGAAAGCCTCCTCCTATATAAATGGCAGCTGAAAATAAAACTTACTCATTAGAATATTTGAGAATGAGAAACACAAGCAATTGGCCATAAGATGTTCAAAACAATGACGATGTATATTTAAATAGTACCTTTAACAAAATAAAAGTTTGAAGGTACTTACACAGAAACAAATTTTAACTGGTCAATGTTTTTTAACGCAGAAGGCTGGAAGATGCGAGAAATAAGTAATAGTTCTACTTGGAGTGCCCTCTGCTGATCCACACATATAGTTTGCAGATCATTTGCATGGTCAAATGTTGTATATAATGTCCTCTAGTGGTGTGCAATGGTATAAAAATTTATTCCTTGATAGTTTTGACAGAAGTAGAAAGTGGAAAGCTTAGAAATCCTCGGCTGCTCCCTTTCTGACCTGCTCCTACGGACAACTGAACTCTGCTCTCTCTACATGCAGCCTCTAAAGTTGATTCTGGTCTTATTCATCCAGTAGATGCCAATAGTGAACGAGATGTCTTGCTTAAAAACATCCATCAATGATTTTTTTCATGGCCACCATAACTGAAGCTAACTTTACAATCCATCATGGGTTTTGAACTTTTCATCCCTGACCATTCGTCAGAACCTCTGGATTACTAAACTAGTGGCTAGTGACACAATAGGAGGCTGAGGGGTGACTTCATTGAGGTTTACAAAATCGTGAGGGGCCATAGATAAAGTGAATGACAAGAGTCTTTTCCCTAGAGTGGGAAAGTTCAAAACTAGGGGGCTTATTTTTAAGGTGAGAGGAGAAAGATTTAAAAAGGACACGACGGGCAACTTATTTACACAGAGTGTTTGTATGTGGAATGAGCTGTCAGAAAAAGTGATGGATGCAGGTACAGTTACAACTTTTAAAAGACATTTGAATAAGTACATGAATAGAAAAGGTTTGGAGTGATATGGGCCAAGTGGAGGTTGGTGGGACTAGTTCAGTTTAGGAATATGGTTGGCATGTACCTGTTGGACCGAAGAGTCCGTCTCTGTGCTGTATGCCTCTCTGACTCTATGATTCTAAAAGACACAGAATGCAGCATTAGATAGATTTTCATGAAGTCAGGAGGATAAACCCAGCCCATCTCAAAATCTTCTAATCATTTGTTATCATCGTGATGACCTTTGACTTGGAAATAGTATAGTAAGAAAAATAATTTAATTTCTTTAAAACGTTGATGAAATATATAGTTCCAAACACTTTCAAGAGCTTACATCAATTGAAGAGGGATCAATTGTAATTTTCTTGGATAATAAGTAATATTACTTTAGTGACCTGGTGACTTGTCCTCGACCTGGAAATGGGACCAAAGGAAGAAGTTAAGAAAGAAACTGGACAAAGGAAGGCGCAGATATAAAGGAGGGATACAAGCAGAGGAACTGGAGGGTAAAAATGCTCTGTGCACAGATACAGTCGCAAAGACAGAAAGAGGAACACAATTCTTGCGAGGAGAAGTGGAAAATCACTCTCAGAATGAGCTCAGTATTTCTGTGTGGCAGCAAAGGAGACAGAAACTCTTGAAGGCAATGTGAAAATTGGCTAAAAACAGCCAAAATCTGGAAAACTGTGAATGACTCAGTAACGTAAAGAGTTTTTTTTCTCAAAAGTGGCCAAGTTGTGGTCTAGCACATTATTGGTTAATTGATTGAAAATGAACACTGGAAAGCTACATTATCAAAACCGCCCTGGCGAAGGGAGAGAGGGTTCACAGCAGTGTACCTTGCTGATGTATGTCATATCTCTGAAACTAAAGGTGAAAAGCTGTAATCACAGAGGCTCCCAGACCTTTTATTCACTCATGGGACATGGGTATTGTTGGCTGGGCCAGCACTTGTGGCCCATCTTTAGCTGCATGTGGTGGTTAACTGCCTTCTTGAACTGGTACAGTCCATGTGCTCTAGGTAAGCCCACCAAACTTAGATGAAGAAAGAATGTAGAATGTAGAATCCTGTGACTCTGCATTCTACATTTGTGAAGGGAGTGATTCAAATGTTTATGGTTAAGACATCTTTTTTGAATCAACTATTTAAGTAAAATTTATACTTTTTATCTGAAGTATCATTTACCTGTTAATTCATGTATTGGTTTTGATTTGTTTTAAAGTAAAACTCAGAAAAAGTGAAAATGTTGGTAAATTCTTCACTCGTGAGCCATTCAATCTTGATTATTTTGGTTTAAGGTTTCCTCATGGAGATTTTGACATCCTTGTTACATGGTCCACTTAAGCTCTTCAATTATTTTATTATTACAGACACAGTCATCAGAGCTTTATCCTCAGAACCTCAAGGCATGCATGAATGGCCGCCTTTTTTGTGTCAGTCCTCATGCCTGTCTTAGCTTGCTTCACAAAGCAGCTGTATTCAACAAAGCTGAAAGCTGTTTTAACAAGTTGAGCACTGATCCCACAAACAGCCTAAGGCATTCACAGTAGATAGTGGCTGGGCACTTTTTATTTACAGTGGGGGATAAGTTTTTTTTGAGCATGAAAGAGACTTCCGTTGAAGAAGCACTTCCCTTTCAAGAAACATTTTTTGTAAAGGTAGAGTAGCTTCAGTTATGAGGAAATATTGATGAAATGCTGTGACAGATTCTCTCGTTTGCTTTTTGGCTTTCGACGTCACCCAGCTGGAGTGCAGACAGGAAAATCTGGTGAAGGTGACTACATGCCAGTGACACAATCCACCCCAAATTAATGGATTTATGGAAGGAAAAAAGACAGCTGGGTTCCGTAACCAGCCTGCAACCCTCCTCGCCAGATTTTCTTCTTTGTGTTTCACCCAGTAGATGCTGGTTGTCTAGGCAATTAGGATGAAAATCTATTCCATTGCCCCATTTCATTAGGCCAGAGAATGTTGAGGAGATTTAATACATAAGAAATAGGAATGCAAAGCTATCAAGGGTTTCGATCATGTGAAGAGGAGAAGGCCATCTCAACTGGTCAATGAGTTAGTAATCTGAAGATGTAAATTTAAACTGATTCCCAAATGCAAGCAGTTTCTCACTGCCACATAAAAACAGATTGTCTACTCATTATCACATTGCTGTTTATGGAAGATTGATGTGTAAATTGGTTGGCTCGTTTCTATCATAGTAATAGTCACTATACCTCAGAACTATTTTACTGGCTCCATTGGATCATGTGCTCTGCTTATGAAAGACACCTTATATATGCAATTTTTTTTCCTTGTTGGAACTTCAAATTCCCTACCAGAGACAACAATAAAAGTAAGTCTATGACTTTGAAAAAGTATGTTATCAAAGAGCTGGAAATGATGATTTTAAATATAGAAAAGTTCAGAGGCATACATGACTACTTGGAACACTTTCTGGAATCTAAAGCAAGCGCTCTGGCCTGAATTTATTGCTTCTGTTTAGTAAATTCCCATAGTGCGACTGGACATTTTCAGAGGTTATCAAGTTTTGTTCCTCTCAGTCAAACCTTCTTTGTTTCCAAGATTAACTCAAAGGGCAATGACAATCTACAACTCCTATGTGATTGAAAGAAAGTCATCTGCATTGTGCCCTTTGTCACTAAACACGAGGAGTTCGTAGATTCCAAAGACTGAGATTATCCAAGCTGTTGTCATTTCTCTTTTATTTCTGCCACAACGATCTCTCCGCTCACTCTCATTGTGACTGTGAGCTATCGCCATTTTGCAACTTCTCTTCCATTTCTTATCATGATGTGGAGGTGCTGATGTTAGACTAGGGTGGACAGAGTCAGAAGTTACATGATGCCAGGTTATAGTCCAACAGGTTTACTTGAAATCACAAGCTGTCGGAGCACCGGTCCATCATCTGTTCACTTCAAATAAACCTGTTAGACTATAGCCTGGTGTTGTGTGACTTCTGACTCTATCTCTCCAACTAAGCGGTTTTCCTTCAATGTTGTACCTCTGTGTCTGACTAAAAATATTTATGGTTGGTGAAACAAAATGTTCTAACTCTATGTTACTGAGTCACATCTTGAGTCAGTGTTTGACAGGATGCCAATTTTTATGTGAAGGATTACCCGTGTTACCACTGAACAGGAAGAGAACTTACTGAGACATCTGAAGGAAATCACCCGAGTAATTAAGAAGGGGCAACTCTTTGAAGGCATCAGCCCTGAGAAAGAAGCAGAGGAATCTCCATACATGGAGGACTGGGAAAGTGGAGAAAAATCTTTTAACACTAACAGTAGGTACAGCAAATAATGCATTTCAATAACGAATTCAGAGTAGTCAACAGAAGCAGTGTAGAGGAATACTATTAGAACCCAATGTCTTTATTTTGATTTGAAACTGTGAGAATACCATGCATAAGGCACATTGATGACCCTCAAACAGCTACCTATTACAATTAAAATGTGATATTAAAATTTAATATAGTAAATAATCATGTGTGGGGACACATTCAAATAGCAACCCGTGGATAAAGGATTGCAGATCTCAGGTTTGCTGTTGGGGGAACATGACAGGGAGATCAGAAGTTCCCTGCCTTTGCTGTTGGAATAGGAGCAAGGAAGACTAGAGTTTGCTGTAGGGAAGATGAGGGAGTGAGATTGCAGGACCTGGTAATTGTGATTGGCGCAAGGATGCAGTTTTGATTATGGATATGGGGGATCATGGGATTCCAAAAAGCAGTAACTGTGGTGAGGACTTGCGACACTATTCATCCAGTGCTTGGAGACAAGTCAACATTGAAACATTGGCCAGAAACAGGCAGTAGATCCATACGCATATGCAACTTCTCTAATGCCTGCTTCGGACATGGGTAAAAGACAGCTTCTTCCTTAACCAACATTTGAGGCCTTAATTAGAAATGTAGCACCAAAACTACAAAGCCCAATTAAAATTCCATAGAGTTAGAATTTATTTTAGTGAACCACTTCAGTTTAAACTTTACTGACCTTATTAAAGTTCTATTTCAGACAAGAATTCCAAGTTATTGATGATTATTTGTGCAGGAAGTGTGTTTGGGTGCGAATCCCAAGGGATCACCTGGATCGGTTCAAGTGAAGTTAGACGCAATGAGGAATTTACAAGGGCTGTGGGGTGTGATGGATGGCAATTGCAGGAAGGGAGATAAACCGAAGATAAAGTCAGGTAGATGGGTTACCTCCAGGAAAGGTAGGAGAGGGAGGTAGGTTCTGCAGGAGTCTCCTGTGGCTCTCCCCATCTCAAACAAGTATGCTGTTTTGGAAAATGGAGGGGGTGATGGACTCTCAGGGAAATGTAGCACTGACAGCCAGGTTTCTGGTACCTAGGCTGGCTCTAATGTAATGAGGAGTACACCAGGTTCCAAGCAATCGACTGTGATAGGGAACTCTCTAGTTAGAGGCACAGACAGATATTTCTGCGGCCGACAGTGAGACATCAGAATGAGTGTTGTCTCCTTGGTGCCAGGATCAAGGGTGCAGAATATTCTCAAAGGGGTGAAGAACTAGCAGGAGGCCATTGTACATATTGGAACTAACGACATAGGAAGAGACAAGGACGAGATTCTGAGGAGAAAATATAGGAGGTTAGGCTGTTTGGGTGGAACTGAGAAATAAGAAAGGGATGATCAACTTATTGGGATTATACTATAGATCCCCCAATAGTCAGCAGGAAATTGAGAAACAAATTTGTAAGGAGGTCTCAGTTATCTGTGTGAATAATAGATTGGTAATGGTAGGGGATTTTAATTTTCAAAACATAGACTGGGACTACAATAGTGTTAAGGGCTTGGATGGAGAGAAATTTGTTAAGTGTGTGCAAGAAAATTTTCTTATTTAGTCTGTGCATGTACTTACTCGAAAAAGTACAAAACTTGACCTGCTCTTGGGAAATAAGGAAGGGGTATCAGAGTCACTGAGGTGTCAGTGACCATAATTCTATTAGTTTTAAAATAGTGATGGAAAAGGATAGACTGGATCTAAGAGTTAAAGTTCTAGATTGGAGGCAGGCCAATTTTGATGGTATTAGGCAAGAGCTTTCAAAAGTTAATTGGGAGCGGATGTTTGCAGGTAAAGGGACAGCTAGAAAATGGGAAGCCTTCAAAAATGAGACAATAACAGTCCAGAGACATTATGTTCCTGTTAGGTTGAAGGACAAGGCTGGTAGGTGTAGGGAGTGCTGGATGACTAGAGAAATTGAGGTTTTGGTCAAGAAAAAGAAGGAAGCAAATGTCAGGTAGAGACAGCAGGGATCGAGTGAATCCCTGGAAGAGTATAAAGGCAGTAGGAGTGTACTTAAAATGGAAATCAGGAGGGCAAAAATGGGACATGAAATGGCTTTGGCAAATAGGGTTAGGGAGAATCTAAAGGGATTCTACATATACATTAAAGACAAAAGGGTAGCTAGCGAGAGTATAGGGCCCCTTAGAGATCAGCATGGCTGCCTATGTGTGGAACTGCAAGAGTTGGGGAGATACTAAACAAGTATTTTGCATCAGTGTTTACTGTGGACAAGGATATAAAAGATAGAGAACGTGGGGAAATAAATAGTGACATCTTGAAAAATGTCTATATTCCAAGGAGTAGGTGCCAGACATCTTAAATTGCGTAAAGGTAGATAAATGCCCTGTACCTGATCAGGTGTACCCTAGAACTCTGTGGGAAGCTAGGGAAGTGATTGTATCAGCGATAGCCACAGGTGAGGTGCCGGAAGACAGGAGGTTGGCTAACGTTGTACCACTATTTAAGAAAGATGGTAAGGAAAAGCCAGGGAACTATAGACCAGTGAGCCTGACATCGGTGGAGGGCAAGTTGTTGGAGGGAATACTGAGGGACTGGATTTACATGTACTTGGAAAGGCAAGGACTGATTAGGGATAGTCAACATGGCTTGGTATGTGGGAAACTGTGTTTCACTAACTTGATCGAGTTTTTTGAAGAAGTAATGAAGAGGGTTGATGAGGGCAGAGTGGTGGATGTGATCTATGTACGCTTCAGTAAGGCATTTGACAAGTTTCCTCATGGCATACTGGTTAGCAAGGTTAGATCACACAGAACACAGGGAGAACTATTTAATTGGGTACAGAACTGGCTCAAAGGTAGAAGACAGAGGGTGGTGGTGGAGGGTTGTTTTTCAGACTGGAGGCCTGTGACTAGCGATGTGCCAGAAGGGATTGGGGCTGGGTCCACTGCTTTTTGTCATTTATATAAATGATTTGGATGTGAATATAAGAGGTATGCTTAGTAGGTTTGCAGATGACACTAAAATTGGAGCTGTAGTGGACAGCAAAGAAAGTCACTTCAGAGTACAACGGGATCTTGATCAGATGGGCCAATGGGCCAAGGACTGGCAGATAAAGTTTAATTTAGATAAATGTGAGGTGCTGCATTTTGGGAAGGCAAATCAGGGCAGGACTTATACACTTAACGCTATGGTCCTGGTGAGTGTTGCTGAACAAAGAGACCTTGGAATGCAGGTTCATAGTTCCTTGAAAGTGGAGCTGCAGGCAGATGGGATAGTGAAGAAAGCATTTGGTATGCTTGCCTTTATTGGACAGTGCATTGAGTATGGGAGTTGGGAGGTCATGTTATGACTGTACAGGGCATTGGTTTGGCCACTTTTGGAGTATTGCATGCAATTCTGATCTCCCTCCTACAGGAAGGATGTTATAAAGCTAGAAAGGGTTCAGAAAAGATTTACGAGGATGTTGACAAGGCTGGAGGGTTTGAGCTATATGGACAGGCTGAATAGATTGGGGTTATTTTCCCTGGAGCGTCAGAGGCTGAGGGGTGACCTTATAGACATTTATAAAATCATGAGGGGCATGGATTGGGTAAATAGGCAAGGTCTTTTTCCCAGGGTGGGGTAGTGCAAAACTAGAGGACATAGGTTTAAGGTGGGGGGAGGTGGTAAAAGATAGAAAAAGGACCTAAAGGACAACTTTTCATGCAGAGGGTAGTGAGTGTATAGAATGAGCTGCCAGTGGAAGTGGTGGAGGCTGGTACAATTACAGCATTTAAAAGACATCTGGATGGGTTTTTTAAAAGGAAGGGTTTAGAGGGATATGGGCCAAATGCTGGCAAATGGGACTAGATTTATATTGGATATCTGGTTGAGTTGGATCAAAGAGTCTGTTCCCGTGCTGTATATCTCTAAGACTGTATGTCTCTAATTTAGAGAAACCCAATTGCACTTTAACTGCTTTCTTTTGTTATCTGAAACAGAATATCATTTGACTTTGATACAGTTTTAATGCCAATAACTGTGGATTTTGTTTACTAAGGTGGTCCTGAGGAAACATACCAGAATAGCAGTGAATCCGAATGCAGTTGCCCGTGTGATACCAACGCAAATATTTCTGAGTCAAATGAGCTTTCTGCAGAGGAAATAGCAGAAGGAATAGGCACAAGAGAAGATGAATGTTCCTCAAGTGAAACAATGGAAGATCAAATAAGACAAAACAAAATATATCAAGCATTGGATCATCAGCCAAGCACGCGGATTGGTGTGTGTAGCCAGAATGGCGGTGTTCAAGTGGAAGAACTCCAGTGTGAAGACTGCGAGTATTTTAACCATGAAAGTGATGACCCAGCTATTATAGCAGAGAATTTTGTCACCAGCTCTGAGGAAGCCAGTGATGCTGATGATCAAATCAGGGATGAATCTATTAAGAACATTTCTATCAGTGAAAAGCAGCAAGAAATCACTTGCAAAAATAAAGGCGTACTGCGAAAACGCAGCAAGGTGATGAAAAAGTAACTGGCAAAAAGAATAATAATTCAGATAGTATCCCTTTGGTATATGTAACCAGGCTGTATCAGGTCTTCCAAACAGAGTTAAATTATACAGCACATAGGTATTTTCTAATATAGACACTGCACTTCTTCAATGTTTTCCATTATTGTCAGAAAAATCTGTTTTACCATGTAGTTACTCATCTAGAACATACAACATAGAACAGTACAGCACAGTATAGGCCCTTCGGCCCATGATGTTGTGCCGACCTATTATCCTACTCTAAGATCAAACTACCCTGCATACCCTATAGTTTACTATCATCCATGTGCCTTTCCGAGGGCACTTAATTGTCCCTAATGTATCTGACTGTACTACCACTGTTGGCAGTGCATTCCACACACCCACCACTCTCTGTGCAAAGAATCTACCTCTGACATCTCCCCTATACCTTCCACCAATCACATTAAATTATGTGCTTTCATGATAGCTATTTCCGCCCTGGGAAAAAGTTTCTGGCTATCCACTCTATCTATACCTCTCACCATCTTGAACACCTCTATCAAGTCACCTCTCATCCTTCTTCACTCCAATGAAAAAAGACCTAGCACCCTCAATCTTTCCTCATAAGACCTGCCCTCCAGTCCAGGCAGCATCCTGGTAAATCTCTTCTGCACCCTCTCTAAAGCTTCCACATCCTTCCTATAATCCATCCTTCCCGAGCAAAACTGAATACAGTATTCCAAGTGTGGTCTAACTAGGGTTTTAGAACTGCAGCATAACCTTGCGGCTCTTAAACTTAATCCCCCTGCCAATGAAAGCCAACACACCATACGCCTTCCTCGTTATAACCCCTTTACTTAGGAACCCTATCCTCAGTATTTAAACACTCCTATTTTCCTCTATCCATTGTTTTTCTTTCCTTTGTGACAATAATTCTTAATTGTTAATGAAAGAGAAAATGTACAGTGCTTTCATCTATGTCATATGACACAAAGAATAACTGTTGAGTGTTGGACTGCAGTAAAGAGGCAGAGGCTGAACGTACAACTCTATCAAGGTAGAAAACTAATTGTTCTACCACACTCCTGGCTTCAGCCTTATAAATGGTGGTTAGACTTTGAGGAACCAACATGTGCCCCCTGTAAACTTCAGAACTCTTAACTATTTAAAGCCCTTCAGGATTTCCTAAATTGTGTTAGCATGACATTCACTCCAAGTAAATTCCAGCTTCCCTTGTTCTACTTTTTCACAACTAGGCTTCTTAGAAATAAATGAAAAAAAATTGATATTTAGCAAAATTAGGCAGTTCTTCATTTACAGACTCTTTAAAATTTATCTATTGTTCAGGGTCTCTTATTTTTAATCAGACCATCAACACCATTGTCCAAGAATAAAACAGCTCACACTCTGTCAATACCTTATGTTATGTGGTTTCTTCAGCATTTTGGATCCATCATTCTGGATCCATCACCATCTTTCTGTCAGTCATAATTCAGCAATGCACCAGACCAGCAGTGTGCCACACAATTAGAACAGCACAGTCTAGATCCATCCTTTCAACATTGGTGGCCAATTTGTTTCCCATCTGTTTTCCAAGAGGAACCAAATCAGTTTCCATTAGGATGTAAATTTGATCTCTGGGGACGGAGACAATAAAACCATTGCCATGCTCCGATTCTCACGTATATTTTTGAACCTGGAATGAAGCAAGGTAAATGGAATGCAACACCAGACAAGATTGCCAGAGGGCTGTAGAACAGCTTTTTCAAGTAAAATTGGACACAGCAGAATATTGGACACAATTCTGACATCTCTAACTTAATGAGGAAAGTAAGTTAACAGCCTTTTGTAACAAGACTGACTAGTTTGCTTTCTTTTACATATTAATGTCCAAAGCAGTGAAGGGTTTATTTCATTTTTAAAACCAAAACCAAGGAATACATAAGCAGTTACTTGAAATGTTGTTCTCACACCAGCAAAAAAAGTATACATATTAATTCCAGTCATAGTCTTGACATTAAATTTCAATTCATGCATGATTCTGTGGATAAAATATATAGGAGGCTATTAGGAAGCTGAAGAAAAATGTTAAGCAACAATTTCACACAACCCAACAAAAATTCATAAAGCCACCCTGTTGGCATCCACTCAATAATCCAGGAATAGCCTCACATTATGTAGCTTCTCCCAAATAATGATTGAGGACCTCTGGAAAGACATCGGAATTCATTGTTCCCGATCTACGCAATCAGATTGATGTTATAGAACCCAAACTGTTTTTTGAAACACCATTTATATTGGAGATACTTCACAAGTCCCGCTCATAAAGATAAATGAAAAGAATGCAACAACTCATGTGAAACTGATAGCATGGCCCTAAAACCTGACCTGCTCTTACTATTGAAGTGGATAAAGTAATATTACTGAAAAACAGTCACAATTTGTCAAAGTTTTTCATTGCATCTTTTTTGCAGATGCAAATTTTCCTGATGACTGCAAGGCTTTGATAAAGAGGAGTTTATATGAACTTCCAGAAGGCACTCAACAAAGTTCCATGTAAGAGAATGTTAGCTACAAATCAAATCTTGTGGAACCAAAAGCAAATTGTTAACCTGTTTAGTTAGATAGTAAAAGATAGGATAAATAGTATATGCCTGAAACGGAAGAAAGTGACAGGTGGCGATCTTGGCTAACATAACAGAGAGCCGTAAATCCAAGTTTGCTGGACACAATTATAATGATGTAGTAAGTAGGTAGATAGCACTGTTAAATTACCAAGAGCCACAGATAGATAAAGTGAGTGGACAAAATTGTAGCAGTTAGATTTCTTTACCAGTAGATGTGAGGCCATTCATTTTGAATGTAAAAAGGAACGAGCAGAAGCTGTGAGTCAGATTGGAGATTTTTTAAAAGTGCAAGCTAAAAGCAAGGGCGGAGACTGAAGAAAAATGTGAGCACAGAGATGGAATGGAATGAGTCTCGGCCGCCATTACATTACAGGAATAAATATCATGGTGTGAGAGTATTTGGTAAGATTTTAATTTAATTTAAATTAATTACCTATCAAGTAATGCTTGATAGTTTAATCAGTGCCTATGTACTGGACAGCGAAGAAGGTTACCCCTGAGTACAACGGGATCTTGATCAGATGTGCCAATGGGCCAAGGAGTGGTGGATGGAGTTTAATTCAGATAAATGTAAGGTGCTGCATTTTGGAAAGGCAAATCAGGGCAGGACTTAGACACTTAATGGTAAGGTCCTGGGTAGTGTTGCTGAACGAAGAGACCTTGAGTGAAGGTTCATAATTCCTTGAAAATGGAATTGCAGGTAGATAGGATAGTGAAGAAGGCATTTGGTATGCTTGCCTTTATTGGACAGTGCATTGAGTATTGGAGTTGGCAGGTCATGTTGCAGCTGTACAGGACATTGGTTAGGCTACTATTGGAATACTGCATTCAGTTCTGGTCTCCCTGCTACAGGAAGGATGTTTTGAAAATTGAAAGGGTTCAGAAATGATATACAAGGATGTTGCCAGGGTTGGAGGGTTTGAGCTACAGGGAGAGACTGAATCGACTGGGGTTATTTTCCCTGGAGCATCAGAGAATGAGGGGTGACCTTATAGATGTTTATAAAATCATGGGGGGCATGGATAGGGTAAATATTCAAGGTCTTTTCCCCAGGGTGCGGAGTTCAGAACTAGAGGGCCTAGGTTTAAGGTGAGGGGGAAAAATATAAAAGGGACCTAAGGAGTAACTTTTTCACACAGAGGGTGGTGCATATGTTGAATGAGCTGCCAGAAAAAGTGGTGGAAACTGGTACAGTTACAACATTTAAGAGGAATCTGGATGGGTATATGAATAGGAAAGCTTTGAGAGGGATATGGGCCAAATGCTGGCAAATGGGACTAGATTTATTTAAGATATCTGGTCAGCATGGACAAGTTGGACCAAATCTCTATGATTCTGTGACTCTATTTCACTTGAAGGCCTCAATCCTTCCAAAAGCTTGAATTTGGTTTTGATAGTTTTGCGTACAGCTGTGACACTCATTATAATTTTATTAAGCAGGCATGTATGTGATTGAGGCAGAAATATAGGAAATTCATAATATTTTGCATCTAAATGCTACCACTCTGAGGCTGAACCAGATTGTTTGAACACTTTTAACTCCGAGATGAGCTTCCAATCATAGGTATGGTCCATCACTAAAACTGATTTCTTCCACCTCTGCAATGCTATTTTTCTCTGGCATAGTGTAAAATCGCCTCCTGCTCAGACCCTTTGTTCGTGTCTTTATTACCTTGATACTTGACTATTATCAGTGTTCACCTGAGCAGTCTTTCATCTTCCACATTATAGCAACTTGAATTCATGCAAAGCTCTGTGGCCATAATCTGACAACAAGTTACATTAACCCACCACACACTGTCTTCACTGGTTCATAATGCAGCAACACCTGTATTTAAAATTCTCATTCTTCTTTTCATATTCCTCCATGGATTTGTCCTTCAATATCTTAGTAGCCTCTTCCAGCCCTACAACTCCTTGAGATTTCAGTGGGCCTCTAACTCTGGCCTTGTGTGTGCCTTTGACTTTAAGCATTTCACCATTGCCAGCATGGCTTCAGTCTCTGAAGCCCTATTGCTTTAAACTAACAAGACCCAAACTATTTCCAGTACGATTCCATTCTAACACTTGAAAATTACTGCAAACCTCAGATGCCAACACAAACAAAGATGCTTAGTGGTATCATCGCTGGACAGTTAATCCAGATATCCAAATAACATTCCCAGGATCCAGGTTCAAATCCCGCCATGGCAGTAAAAATAAAAATAAAAAATAAAAATATCTGGAATTAAGAGTCTAATGATGACCATAAATTGATTGTCAGGAAAAACCCATCTGGTTCACGAATGTTCTTTAGGGAAGGAAACTGCCATCCTTACCTGGTCTGGCCTACATGTGACTCCAGATCCACAGCAATGTGGTCTGAACTGCCTTCTGGACAATTAGGGATGGGCAACAAATGCTGGCCTAACCAGTGATACCCTCAACCCTTTAATGAACAAAAAAAAAGCTGAACAGTAACATTTAATATACAACAGAGAATATGAAAATATGTTTCTAAAGCTTGTTGTAAAATATTATCACCAGTTCATTACTTCATTTGAGATACTCCAGGTCATAGACTCAAGGAGAAGAAGCAGAAATGCAGCTTGAGGATCATGAGCCCAGACAAATGTAGG